CTTCTAAAATAAACTGGTGTTTATCCTCACCGTCTGCGCAATAAACAAATGCAGCATGGTTAAGACAATGATCAATTAACATTATTGAGATTTTTAGACTGCTTTGTTTATCTTGCGAGAATCCTGTTACAGTAATTTCATCGATGCTGAATGAACAAATATGAAACGAAAATGCATACAATTAGGTTTGTAACTGGTATCAATTCGGTGAAGGTAGATGAGAAATATTTGATGCTACTTTACCTCAATGAATATTCAGTTAGATAATCATTTGTGATAGAATAAAACAAATCTTTTTAAATTGCCTTAATTTTGAATAGAAATTACAAATAATCGTCTTCTAAAATTTTTCAGTTCACTGTTTGTGTTGCCGATAGTTTTCCTAGGTTTCTAGGTAATTCGAGTAATGTATTTAACTAAGACTTAAAGGAAAGTCATCTCTTCATAAACTGATAATTAAGTCACTGTAGATGTTTTATTAATGTGTAAGGTTTTCAAAATGCTACTAAAGGAAGATTAATTCAATATATTTTATAATAGCCTAACTTTTGCTTCTACGAGTTTACTGAACATTTAACTGTAATAAACAGTATTAGTGAATATTTCTTCAAAAATATCTATTGAATACGTATTCTATAAAATTAAGTCCATATATTCAAATGTGGCTCCATTTTGCCGAAAGTTGCTTTGTTAAACCATGACTTGTCAAAAGCGCTCTAGCCCATAAAACGGTCGACAGCCCGGACTAATCAAAGAACCAAAGTGTACCAGTTTTCTAAGTTCGTAAATAATTTCGTACATAGGATATTCAAAATCCCCCTGAAATTTTGAAAAAGCCAATTTCCCTTGAAAAAGCCAATTCCATCAGAAAAGACCGTCTGATCATGCAGGGCATATTTTAAGCAAAAGTGGCAAAGAAGCAGGCATTCAAATTGAAAGTTAGCACGACAGATATAACTATCAAATCGGTCATTGCTTCACTCGTCAATTTTGAAAATGGCATCCTAGAAAATAGTAGTAAAAACACGCATAGCAAAACATGCTACTGAAATTAATGTTTAGGTCTGAGAAAAATGCAAAATTTTTGAATTTCTCACCTTCTTAAAATACAAACAAAATAGCAATCATGAATAATATATTTAAAATGCATATGCCTAACATTAAATGATGGGTGATGACATTCATAATTACGAGGCTGAATAATTAATAGAACTTAACTGGAAGTAAGCTGTATATTTAATTTATTTAACTACAAATTTTGTATTTGCTGTTTATAAATTATTTATCGTTTTCTATCAAAATCTTTATTCATCTAAGCTCAGTCTTTAGAAACTATATTTTTAATCTAATAGTTATTTCCCTGTCCCCTTCCGTCTTTCGGTCATTATTTTCAAAATTGTATGGTTCTGATTAGTCTCCAGCCCCAAACCAATGCCTGAATTGCGTGTTCTACTTACAGCCACTCCTGTCTCTCTGGCGCCAGCACATGACCAGTAGCGGCGCTCTGTGCACTTCTTGTTTCTCATCCTACAAGCCCTACTCTCCAGATCAGTTCAAAACACTTTCTGTGATGATTGCCTGATATCACGTTTTCCAAACTACTGCTAAGATTGCTATCGTTTAATTTGAACTCCTGCTCCAGACTTAAATTGCCCATTGTATTTTTATTAGTTTGTTTCTTTTTGTACTAGTCGATGTGTTTGATTAATGGCCACCTTATCTCATAGAACTGGCGTAGGTGTTTTCTCCATCATCTCCTCAATGCAATGCTAGCCATAAGACAAGTTGTGGTTAGCAATGTAAGTAGTTCTACTCAGGATGGGTCTCCTGCCCAGTCGCCTGTTTAATCGTGACTCGCTCACCTCAGTCGATCTATTCGTATCAATAGCAGTTGTTTTCTGCCATCAACTGAACACCTGTCGCGCTTCTAAAATTACAGCTCTGCATGTTCATTAAAGAATTAACAGATAATTAAGGAAAATGCAGCTTTGATAACCCTTACATATACAGATTGATGTACGGTTTATTTCTACCCATAAAAAACCTTGCTTTCAAGGTTCTTTAAAACAATCCTTAAAAACTACTAACTGTTAAATGTAACGTTGCAGTAGAACAGAAAAATTTCAGTAGCCGGTTTTTCTGTCGTAACATCTATTAGCAGTTTCTTTCCAATAAATATTATAGTTCACAACAACAATTTAGTATGCAACGAATGTCATTTCAATTCGACATTTCAATTTCTTATTTAATTAATTTTTATTTAACGTACTCATGGTTAAAATGATCCTGCATTCTGTTTTAAGCCTTTATTCTAGTTTCACAAAAACACTACACGCACCGCTATCCTCTTCTTTTCGATGTTTCGTTCTTAATTTTTTTCATTTGTAAGCAATATTTATATTCGTATAGTACTTTTCCCACCTTACCTATTTCCCCATGCCTTAAAAGTTTTAAAGGTTATTAATTTTATACTATATGTATTCAAAAACATACGTAACGTTTGCAATAACGGGAAAAAAGGCTTACTGAAAGTTATGCACACTTTTTGGGTACCAAATTTAATTTTCAACAATTTTTTACACTATTTGCACATTTTAACGATTTTATGTTTGTAATGTTTTGGTCACTGTCTTGTCAAAGAAGCAGAATGTTTTGCATATCACAGTATAAATTACTTATCTGTAACCCTAAAAAGTATTTGAAAGCCATAATGCTAGGAAAAATATTTTGTTTTATTTGAGGAACAATATTGCTAAATGTAAACTCCAATGACTAACCTTTAATTATCTTGAGTAACCTTGATTTTTGATTTCAAAGATCAAAATCGCATTCTTAAAATATATTTTAATACAGTTCTGTTTGTGAACGTATCCGTAAAAGGTCCTCGTGGATTACTCTTATTGTTGAAAACCAATTTCTTTCTTAAATCCCTATCTTCTGGTTTCAAATAACTCAATCGTCGCATTTTTTAAGACAGAAAGTATAAAATGGCTTTTGCTTCTAACAGTGTGAAATTTTTTTGCCACCGTGGGAATTCTATTGAGAACAGAAAGATAAGTTAAAGGTCTGAAAAAATAATCTTTGAAAATCTTTGCCTCATTTTCATTTGTGAGGCAGGAAAGTAATTTTATATTAAATTTTAAGATTCTAAATAAATGCGATTACCGAAACTTCCAAACCTAAATGCGTTAATTAAATAAAATTCCTATCTTTGTTATCAATAAGCTGATACACTGAATTAATGTCACTTAAAATGGCAATATGTTACGATAGTGAGTAACTGTGACTTTTATTCCAATGTTGTACTAAAATTTCTTCAATTCTGATAACGATTTTTATTGCATAATTTCAAGTTTGCGATCTGGATTTTCATTAAGATCATAAATATAAAATCTAGTAATATCTAAGGTAAATTTATTAATGACTATAAATAATTCGGACCATTAATTATTTAAAATATCATTATAAGATAAATAATAATTTTTTCTCACTAGGAAGAATTACAGTTCATAGCTGACTTATCTACTTTTCATTCATAACACGCAATAAAAGTATTACATTTAACAAATTATTAGTTAATAGTGAAAATAGTTAAATTTAGGGTAAAGTAGATAACACTAGAAGACTTGATTTCAAATTACAAATAAAATAATTATAAAAATCTTGTTTTGAATGACAGAGACGACAGCCAATAAAAGAAATCATGTCCCGCTTCATTATTTTACACACATAAACAATAAATGTAAAATAACGGAAGAGATTATACTACATGGTTTGATATAAAAGAAATGTAGATAAAACAACTGAGTATTTTAATTGTTCCTAAAGAGCAAGATGCATTATTTCCCCTTACAACAGTATTTTGAATAAATGTTGATGTGGCCAAGGTAGTCTTAATTGTTTCGAAACACATTCATTAAATGAATAATATTTTACTATCACTACAAAACAATGCGCAGATATTTTCTGAAAGTTTCTCATGTGAATATCGTAGAATAATGTTTAAATCTCAACAGTCTTTAAGTAGATCACTATTTTAAAACTAATTCTTTCGAATATTATTAAAACATATTCATTACATAAATTACAAAAAAATATCTTTTCCAATTTTGCAGTTTACAAATGGGGAACAGTTAAACTGTTTTTGTATTTGTTATAAAATGCAAAGCAATTAAATTATTTCTGTGTTTTTTATATTATGTATATTGTATATTTTATGTTTATTAAAATTTATTAACGAAAAACAAAAATTTTGTGATTTTGAAATATCATTTTAACATTAAAATCTTTATTGCAATTCTGGAATAAAATTTTAATAAGTAAATATACCCTATATCATTATATAATGCGTTTATTTATTTTATACAGAATGCTTAAATTAACTTGCAACGAAGCTATAATTTGCAAACGAATAAAACCGACAATTTAAATATTAGTTTAGTATCTCTGTGATCAAAAAATATTTAATTATCTTTCTTGTTCAGAACAATTTCTTTAGTACTGCAAGTTATAGGAATGAACATATACTACATATTATATGCTGCAGTTTTGTACAGTTCGCCTGTAATGCTAAGGAAAACTGATAAGATATGAAACACAAATATGCATATTTTTACTTTCATTTTATCAGCTGTATTTTAAACTCCTAAGTCTGTAAACTTAGGAGTAGTTTTAATTACATTCACAAAGTCCGATCAGGGGAGGGGATTTGGAAAGTTGAAGTTCAAGATATCTAATAACCACTGAATATTCATAGAGTTAACGAAAGATGCGTTTGTCATCTAGTATTCTCAGCCGTGTTTAATGGGAAAGTGGGTCATGGCGTTTGAAATACCTCCACTTAATTATTTGCTTTTAAAGCAGCTTAAGTATGTAATATAAATATCCACATTTGTAATTATTAAGCCAAATTTATGTAGTTATTACTGTTTGCCAACAATTTATAGTATGTAATGTTAATATTATGTTATTTACCTCGTTCATTCATTTTTATTTTTTAGGAAACCCAAAAGGAAAAATTCCAGGAAGTAAAAGAAACGAAAACTGTGCCCTCTGAATTCCATTGAGTAAGTGTTTTTTAATTTGGTACGCTATGACTTTCCGTAACCACTCGAACTATTTTAATTGAAAACAGTTCTAAAATTCTTTCAATGAAATAATGAAATGTGTGCGCTTAATACCATCTAAATATAACATCGTATCGACAACCTTCCTTATGCGGCTTTTAATTTCACGACCGTAAATCGTGTATACTTTAAGTTGTAAAAATGTTTCAAATGACGCAAATATTCATATTTTGAGATCTTTAAATTAAAGAATTTTTTCATTTAACTTAATCCAACCTTTTATGCGGTCCCTAGAGTTACATAGGAAATATTTATACTTGCTGTTAAAAAAAATCTGAAATGTTTGAGTTCCGTACGACAAAACTGACCTGAGTATTTGATGATTTGAAATTTAAGATCATATTCACATACACAAATTGGAAAGTAAAATGTTTGAGCTGACTAGTAACTAAAATTAATATATATCAGTTTAAAAACATTTTTATGCTATTAATAGTTTAAGTCACAAAGATTGCATTGGGAAAGTATTGAGCAATATAAAAGTTTACAAAAATGAGATCCCAGAATCATAGAATTTTAGAAAACATTGGTAAGCTTCAATAATGGCACATAATAAATTCATAATAGTTTTGCAATAATTAAAAATGAAAAATATTTCTAGTTTAAAAAATTTTTGTGAAGTTATTAAATAACTCTTTTAGAGTACTAATATGAGAGAGACCATTATAAACTCTTCAGAGTATAAGAACATTAACTGCATGAGAATATTGAAACATATTCATAGTACTTGAAGATGTACAAGTTACTTGTCTTAAAATCACTTCGGGATGCTATATGTAATAAAATTTTAAATTATAAAACGTAACATGTTAGCAGTTATAAACGAATAACAATGAAGGACATTTAAAACTAAAAATTCAATCTGGAATTATTTAAATTTATATTTAAACCAATTCCTCAACAAAAGAATAAAATTTCCTAAATTAAAATTAAATGCATCATTAAATTTTTGTGGTACGAGAGTGGCACTTTTTTGTACATTATATTTCATAGTGAGAATAAAAGTCTCCTAGTCATAACTGTAGGTATCGGAGGAACGTATAAAAACTATATTTTTTAAATTATATGAAACTGCTTTTTAAATATCAAAATGTAAATAATTATGCCATTTAAAACTTTTTATAGTTAGAAGTATATGTCAACGAAAAATTTATCGCTTTTATGAGAATAAAGGCTACATAAGGATTTTTTCGGACATAATGAGATTTCATAAATTTGAAATAACGTGTATTTGAAGTCTCGGGTCATTTGTTCTAATTATGTGCAGCGACTGTTAAAGAGCTTTTACATTACAGAAAACAAGATGACGCCAATTAATGCAATGCGGATCCTTAAACAGGGGATGTATTTAACTAAAATTAAGACTTTAAAACGCTCTTACTAATTAAGTTAGAAATTTATTCTAATTAAATTTCATTTGTTAATAATTTTCCTCATATTATATGTCTTACATATATATGTGATATTTTAGCAGCCGCGGACACATGAATGACGAGGCTTTGCATCAAAGTCCAGGCATTTCTGTAGCAAAGTGTTAAGGCGGAATCCAAATGACGAGATTGAGAAATGAGAAATTTAGCTTTTAATTGCACATCTTTATTAAATAGATTTAATTCAATTTTCACCGTTTATCATGCTTTACTTCATATGAAATTCTCCAAATTACATATTCAATAGTGGTTTAAACTAAGTACGATTGAATTTAAATTTTCTGCGTCATCAGTATTTCTAACAAGGAAAGATAAGTTAAGCAGCAGCGTGATGTATAGCATAGGAGGAGAGACGAGGTTCTGTCCGCAAAATGGCGCACATTCGTTATTTATAGTAGCTGTTACGTAATAGGCTAGAATGTTCTCGAAGGTACTGGTCTAGGGGTAGATGCTAAATTGCGGTAAGTTAGAGGTTGCCTGTTCGCGTAGAGCAAAGCCATCGTATTTTTCATATTTTACATTATATATATTGTTACGAAATGTACAGGCTCGGTAAGATGGCTTCCCCACAAAGCAGTTTTAGAGTTGCCATAAAATGGTAAAGGAAGGCAGGGTTGCCACATTTGGAGGGAAATCGACCATTTGGCGACAAAATTGACGATATGTCATGGACGAATGGAGAACCTTCTGGAACGAATTCTTACCGGTTTAGCCCAGAATGTTCTCGAACACAAGCCTAAAGCTATATAATCCCTGCTGGTACGCGGAGAGTCAGTTGGTATCGAGTTGGTGTCTCGTCTAGCGAATCAATCCCTGCGGAGTCGATCGAGTTGACAGCCGGGCAGCGAGTGCCGAGTGGGTCGTCGAGTGCACCGAGTGGGTCGCGGTTAGTACATTGTCGAGAGAGCGTGTAAGCTCCGGGAACGACTGAACCGAAGAGTCGGGAGCTGTGCTCTGTGTGTCGTCGACTGCATCGCGAGTTGTAGCGTACGGAGCCTCGAGAATACGTGGAGTTCCGAGAACGACCGAGCGGAGTCAGAAGCTGCACTTTAGTGCTTTGCCGTGAAGCTGTCTCCCCCGTGATAGCCTGATAACCTAGAGGCTGTGTCGCTGATCGTGTCAGCGTGTTTATAGTGGTTCATCGACTACTGTAAAAACGTATTTTGGAGTTGTCCTGACAATGCTGGCCAATAAAGTGTGTTTCAATACTTCATCAGGTAGTATTGTCATTATTCACTCCAAATCCTCTCACAAACCCCGTACGAACATAAAGGAAGAAAATAACATAACAACTGGTGTCAGAAGAAAAATACCGTAACAGTATATATATATATTGAGTTCGGCATTCATGCACACAGTTTCCTTTAGCATCGTCCGTTCTGACCTCGAGCGCCGTCACAGGTACGTTTTCAGTCAAAAGGATACCAGACCTTGAATCGAAGAGTTTATATGTATTTTATAACGTGCTCCGCCATTAGGCACACGGCACGTTCCTCAGTCAAACGAATACGAGGCCTTACGTCCACGGAGTTTTGCGAGGCCTTATGTCCACGGAGTTTGCACGTATTTTATTACACGCTCCGCCATTTGTCACTAAAAACGATGGATGCCCCATAGAAGACGTTTTTAGGGAAACTGGCACATGGGAAATACCACACGGAAACGCCCATGCAGATAGCCCGTTCCCTGAGATTCGAACCTCGGACTGAACCACCAGTGTTTAGCGGGTTTTATTTGACAGAATTTGACGTCTCATACGATCATGTAGGAGCTAGGTCCTTTATATACGAACATGTAGGAGCTAGGGACTGCCATTAAAGCGGCCTCTGCAAAAACTGGCCAAGTTTATCTTAATTTTTAAAGTTAGACTTTTAAATGTCGCCAGAGAATTCTCAGTAACACATACTGTTTTCATATCTTCGCAAATAAAAGTAATATATAGTATATATATATATTGTTGCGAACACATAAATTGTTAAACAGCATTGAAACCACAGCTAACACGAACTTTAATTTAAAAGCTACAGTGATTGCTTCTGCATATTACATTTTATTGAGAAGAAGTATCAAAATGCTAAAACATTATGTTACCCTCGAGAAAATGAAAAGATAAAGAGAATTGTAAGAAAACATGTGCAGTCTATGTTACTACAAAGCTTCATCAAGGTCTTAGATTTTGTTTTTAATGTAGATGATGTAAGGCAGAAGAAACAGAATTAGGAATTTTGCAGTCAAATTAACACAAGAAATTTAAATTCTATTTTATTTATGATAATTTTGGCAAAATTATCAGTTGTGGAAAAACTTTTTAAGAATTCAGATAAATTTTTCTTGGGCAGACTGGCGTGATGCTATATCTTGCAACACACGTTTATAATATGAAAATAAACGAAGAATATTATTCGTCGCTGAATGGCAACACCAATTATTTATGCCTGATATGAATTTATCGACAATGAATTAAAATATACATTTCAGGAAATGCAAAATTATTTTATAATCCATACCTTTCGAATAACCGATTAGGTGTTGACTCAGGTCAATCTGGATATTTTTAGTTCTTCAGTAATATGTTTTGTAACGATTCCAGGGATACGATAAATTAGACACTAATGGTGCAATGTTCGCTACATATGAATTATTACCTTGACTAATTTTATTATACCTGCCAGTTTGCTCAATTTATTTTCTTCACGAAAATTTAACTAACATTCCGTTTCACATCTCACTTCTAAATTCAGAGTATGGTTATTAAGTGAATTTTAGTTTTCACGCAGAAATCTGGCTTCTTAACAAAAAACTAAAATTCATCTTAGGATAACGAAGAATAAAACCTAGGACACATAAGGAAAAACGAAAAGGCTGAAACTTAAGAGCAATTAACTAAAAATTCACGTAAATAAGATTATCTAACAAACATTAATTCTAATAGAACGGAAAAACTGTATAATAGTATTCTTATCATCGGGAGAAGAGTTATATTATTATTAAGTATTTAACTTCGTATTTCTAATCCAACATATTAAAGTTTTCTCCACTAAGAGACAATGAAAATAGCGCATATGTAGCAGACGAAGACTTTTTACGCTTTTCAAATTCGAAAATGCATGTATGAAAAGATGATTTTATATATTACTGGCAATAATATAAACCTCTTATTATTTAAAATTATAAAACTCTTTTCCTAAGATTAGAATATATTAAATTTTCGTATTTCAAGCTGATATATAAATTAACAGATGCAATTTAAGGATTAGAGTAGATTTGAAATAAAATTCCTATGAGTTTCAGGAATTATTAGAAACATTTTTGCCAATATGTTTGCAAAAATATTTTACGCCTAAAAAGTAAAGTCTTATTAACAAGAAATAAAGGTTTGGTTTTTATGAGATTTATATTATTACGGCAAAGCCTCAAAGGTTATTTACCTAAGCGGAGAGATACCTTCGGGGAGGACTTCTAAGGGCAACTGGCTCGTACATACGTTACACATGGGGAAAACAACGAAAGC